GATATAATAATTATGAGATTCAGCGTATTCAGGTACCTGTACCTTAAGAAATTGTCATTTGCTTTTTATGAAATTGACCTATTGACCTATAATAGTCTATAAAGTGACTGAGTAATGTTGTAAGTAAAATATAGTATGTTATATATGGTGTATTGTAGTATATGATATGATATAATAATCATAATGTACTTGATGTTAGTCTAGTATTTAGAATGACATGTATATTAGCCTTGTCTGATCTTCGTATAAAGCTTTATTACACTAGGCTGGACTCGACCAGGTGATTGGCACTCACCTGATTGCGTTAAGTTGTGATGTAAACATGACATGTTGTAATAGCGTGAACAGAACATGGCACTATATTTGTTAAAGATACATTAGGTAATATTTAACCATTTTAAAATTAGACAATGACAAATGAATATATTGAAAATTTCAGCCATGTTACTCTATTCTGAGCAAATGGTCTAAACCATTGATCAATATATCAGCAATTGAATGCTTTAAAAAGTTGATCATGGCCTTTTCATGTGAATAAATGTCTAAATTACAATTTGTATACCATTTTAAGCCAGAAAAAAGAGCTTCAATAGGCAGCTTTAGGTCTTACATAATGCATCTTTAAGTACATGTCTATAGACATTTTGACCAGGCCGAAGCAGCATAGTTTTCTGATAGAATACAAAAAAACTCAGCTCACAGTGACCCTTTGCCCTGTTTTCATTTCAATATTATTGAAATAACAAATAAATTGTTAAATGAGTGTAAACACACGATCACAGATAAACCTTATTTGCTCTAACTGTTAATCAAATTGTAAAGCCAGATTCCTTCTCCCTTTAATTGCATTACAATCGAATTTTTTCTCACTATCAACATTTAATTCTTTTAAGAAAGACATTTCATTTGATCTTTTCAATTTTTCCATAATAATACTGTGGTTCCAACATGGTTCTCAATCCATTTTGAAACAAATTGGGTCAATAGTGGTTGTTGTCAACTTCGTGGAATAGCAATAATTTATTTGGGCAAGAGAATACTCTTCGAAATGTCATCCAAATAAATTAGTAGCTGTTTTTTCATAAGTATGTGTTATAGTTTATATTGTTCTATCAATTTACAAAATGCCTTAAAAATTTATATTCAAGAAATAGGGTGAATAATCTTTAATTCCCATTAATATTTACAACAAACTTCAACAATAAATATTTCTTGATAATGTGTTACACATATTATTATTATCATATTCTGAATCGGCTTAAAGATGGGTTCCCGCGTACAAACTGGGTGATTTAATGGTATATATGGACTAAAAACATATTCAAACTAATTAATTTGTCATAACTTTACTTCAAATCCTTCTCAAACATTGTAATTGCGAAGGAATGTCCTGCTATAAAAATTCGATCAACCAGGTCATGTTTACGTCACGTGACTTACCTCTCTTGGAAGTCAGAGGAGAATTCATTGCATACATAAGACGATGTTGTCTTTAATCGCTTACTATTTATTACAAATATCGAATCCTAATTGAATTCTCGGATTATCCACTACCCACGTCTCAGAAAGTGTTGTACGTCTAACTCTTCATAAAGTTTATCAACTTGTACATCAAGCACTCAATGTTCGCGTGTGACCTTTGACATCACGCGTGCAGAAATTCCTAATCGTCGGGCTGTCGATATGGGGAACCCTTACATTTTTGTCCTGTATACGCTCCATGAGTGTTTTTCGGGGAATCCAGTATTTTTCTAGTAAGATTGGATATCTCTACTTTCCATATATACCACAATTACCATACTTTTATTGGAAATAACTACCTGATAAATACTTTTCTGGGAACCCATCTTTAATATTTATGATTACCACACAAACAAAACAAATACCGCAAATTCGATACACCTGCTCAAAGTTTTCCATGTTTAATTCAGGTACTGTTGTCAAATTATTGTCAATAATATTCCTGAATAAATATCTGTCTTCATTTATTTGATAGATACTGAATGTAAAACATCTATGATATGAGTAGTTTATCAAGTCTAAGCATCGTTTATCTTCTTTAGAAAAAGGTATTTTACAATTACATCAATAGCTTAATCCGTCGTCAAAAGGCATAATAGATCTGGCAAGATTTACTCGATTTACTGAAATTTCATTTCAGTCGGATTCGTATAAATCGGATCTTTGCTCAACTCGGATAAAATCGTTTGGACCCTTTGATCCTGCACGTTTCTCTTATTAAATTTCTGCACGTAAGTTGGATCTTCGCTCAACTCCAATCAAAATGTTCGGTCCATTTGATCTAATTCCTGCTCTTTTCCTTCGCCTAAGTGGGATCAGCAGTATGTACAGAATTTCACTGTCAGTTTCGTCCAGATGGTCTAAAACTTGGTTAGGTATTCCATGCCCCAAAATACTTTCCTCTATCATTTTGACTCTTATCAGCCTATTTGACGCGATGCTATAATAGAATTTTCCCGGAAAATTCGAAACTCGCTGTCTCTGTACAAGACACTTTCCAGGAAAATTTAGGACATTTTTCAAAGATGGCGACAAAACGGAAGTTATCTACTCACACCAAAACGGAAGTTATCTACTCACACAAACGAATAAAAGGACACAGATCACTAAAGATTTCCCCATTGACTCCAATGTTAATTCTCGTATCTTAGACCGGCTCTAATTTTTTCCCAAATTTTCGTTGGGTAGAACGCTTTCTACCACAGATAGAGCAACATGTGGCAACCACTTGCCCAAAAGCACGTATGAGGTTCTTCATGAAAAACTTGAGATACACAAGCTGGAAGTAGAGACAAGTAAACATGCAATTTCAGGCCCTACATTTCAACCTAACCAACCTCTCAACTCTTGTATCCTTCCGCATCAAAATTATGAATATTCACCAAAACCTGGCAGAAAATGTATTTTCAAACCCTTTTCTTCGATTCTACACCAAAAAGTCAACAAAAATCGCCATGCAAAAGGGGGAAAAGGGAGAGGAAGACTAAAAATAGCTTTGGCCCTTGTTTTGTGGGTGACGGCGTAGGAATATTTGGTGATCTGTGTCCAAAAGCTTGAAATGTGCCTTTGAATCAATTATTATACTGCTCTTGCAGTTTATTTCTAATAGAGCATAGATTGAATTTCGGTCTTCGGCTAACTCGGATCTTCACTTAACTGGATAAAATTGGTCAGTCCACTTAGATCCAACTTATGCAAAGTTTACTGTACATGCTGGAATTGAGTTGTAGGGGTCTTCACATTTCTAATTGAGAAAGGTCTATTACTGTGGATACTATCATATCTGTTGTCAACTCAATCTGAAAACCTCTGGATTACTAATCACAAGGTCCAGGATTTAATCTTGGTCTTGACAAAATAAGTCTGGGATTTTTGCTGCATGGTTTCCCCTGGTTAATGGTACAGAATGGAGGACTTCAGTAGGAACATTGTCCAGTTGTTCAGGTTGTACACAAAAACAAGTTCCCATGTACACAATGGCATGCATCTAAAAGAGTCCTTAATAGTTGGAATTACGAATTTCTGATCTTCTATGAGCATATGTTTCGTTGTCTGGCAACCTATCTAAATGGTCTATAGACAATAACCTAAATAACTGGTCGTCTACTTCGAGGGTTCAAGTAAATCTCACAGAAAAAAAAGAACAATACATGTTTATCTCGGACTGATATTGGTCAGACGGACTGACAGACAGCTCTTTTCTTTATAAGGAAGTGTAAAGGAAAATTTGTAGGCATCGTGATATTCTCAGACATTTCAATGGTGCGATTTGGTTAGTATTTTTGGAATACTTGACTTAGTTGGCTGTCTGGTCGTGTCTCCCTCGTGGTTTCAATGGCTCTTCTGTAATCTGATTTGTGAAAAGAACATCACCGCCACCATATACGGATGTATAACATCAATAAAATCTTATCCTCTAAGAAATTGTTTAATCGCCAAAATTTACTGGAAGCAAATACGATTGATGCCTCCATCGTCATTAATTAGGCCTAATGGATTCTCCATAATATCCTAACAAGTTTTCTTCAGTGTAAATATTTTGAGGTACGTTGATCTGCACAATGACACTTGTGTTTGATTTGATACATACCCTTAGTTATAACAGAACACTCCTTGCTGTAAGGGAAGTGAATTTTTTGGTAAATTGTTTATTGTGGTGTGGCATATGACGTTGAATTAACGACTATAGTTTTAAGAATTTTGGTGCCATACAAAGGAAATGGGGGCTAATAAAGACTGGCTTCTGCAATGCAGTGTAGAAAAGCAGGACTTTAAAGCATGTATCATGCAGTTTGCTATGAGGAAAATTCCGAACGATTAAATACCTTTCGTTGTGCACCACTGACAAGCGGAAAGGGAAACCACACCGATAAATCCTGAGAAACTTTCTTGGTCAACACTGGGATTGTACTTCTTTATTAGTGAGTCAATGCTTTACTGACTAAGCCACCTACATGTAAGTCTGGAAAAAAATAAAAATAGTTTTATGTGTGTGTGTTTTTTTTATATAATGCCTGACATTTTATCAGGTGCAGCTAAATTCATCATTTCCCTACATTTCTAATACTATACTGGTATACCTTCCCCCATTTCATGGACAGCATCTAGACAACAAAACTGCTGGTTGGTGTACGTTTCCTAAATAAGTTCCTTAATCTAATCAAAAGAACAGAACTATGTATTGTGAGATCTGCTGATCTTATTTAGGTATATGGCCTAGGAACAAGTGATGAGCTGCAGGCTAATAAAAATCAAAATGGCTGATTAAATCTGTACTATATTGTTAGGTTGTGACGACAGTCACACAGTTCAGTAATTGCCCTATTATTATAGCCATTGTTTATTTAATGGTATTTTTTACGAACAAACATTTTCTTTTTATTATAAAGAAATCCTGATTTGTTGTTCTCACTGCTAAAAGATTACTTTTAAATAACATTTGTAATTACAATTTTAATGGTAATTTCCTTTCATTTCAGAACATGATGAAAACTGACATTGTGTTTTACGGTTTCCATATTTAGCAGAAGTGAATAGCTGTTAGTGATAAAATTCTGGTTTCCAATAACTACCAATCCACAGAACAAGAAAAAAAAAATAAAGACAGTCGCAGTTGATTGAGATAAACGCTGCTCTGTTTCCGTTCAAAGACCAAAACAAATTTTATCTCCATGACATATATATTAAACCTGGAGAGTTATACACATGTTTTATGTAGCCGTTTTTTTTTTCTTTCAATTTTTTTAAACAGTCGTTTTCTTTCCCAATATATACGAAAAAGCACAAATTATGACGATAGACAGCAAGTTATAAAATAGAATTGAAATGGAAGGATTCCATTTAATTTAAATATGCATTGTGCCAGATTTAGATAAAAGAGCTGGCTGTGCTTGCTATATTAGTTTTAAAATAGATAATGAAAAATGAATACGTTTATATTGAAAATTACTTTATTCTGAGCGAAGTTATGAAAAGAAATAGCTTAAATAGTCTTGATTTCTAGTACTTTAATCAGCAGTCATTATGAGCGGCGTCCATATTAATGTTCTATTGAAGATATGGTGAACAATATCTTAGCCATCCGTTGGTAGGAGAGTATGGACGTGTTATGTGAATAAATGTCTAAATAATAATTAATATAACATTTGAAGCCAGAAAAAAGACCTGCAATAGGCAGATTTAGCTCATATGCTGTCACTCAGAAATATTTTAGAAGTATTATTTTTATACGGATAGTTTCACACTCAACTACATTTGGCTTATTTGGAGAATTAATGAGCTGTTGTTATAAAGAAAATATTATGTTCTAATTAATGGAATATTTGACAAAGAAGAAGATTATATTTTTTTAGACCTATCTGTTGTTAATGCACGTCACTCCTGACATTTGACCGATAGTAAAATTCATCATTTTCGTTTGTATTCAGATGTTCAAACTAATGGAAATTTTTATCAATAAATCACTATTACCATCACGTTCGTGTGTATGGGACGTGAAATATCTAGTAAATAATTTACATTTTGTGAATACATTTAGCTTTTAGTCATGACAATTTATAGGAAAAATAGACATCTTTATTAAGTATGTATACATATGACACAAGAAAAATAAAGGCTTATTAACATAAATACTTCATATATTTGAAGGTGAGACAAATAATTTATGAAGCGAAAATGACTTCATTTAATAAACACCACAGGATCCTAGCTCCAATATATCATACACCCCATGTCCAGAGAATAATAATTTTTAAAATGATGGTATAATTCTGGAATTTCAGTTTATTGTTAAGTTGAATTTGTTAGCATCTATAAGTTTAATATTAGAATAATGAATTATTTTATTATATAAATTACTTACAATTTAAATACCTGGGTTGGGGGATGACAGATAACTTATGATGTGAATATGACTTAATTTAATGAACACCAGGGGGTCCTGGCACTATTATATTCAGTATATCATAAACCAGAGAATAATAAGTTTTAAAACTGATGGTAAATTTCTAAAGTTTCAATTTAAGTTGAATTTGTTAATATCTATAAGTTTAATATTAGAATAATAAATTACTTTATTATACCAAATTACGTGCAATATAAATTCCGCGAAGTAGGTTAAACTTGACAAGCATGTCATTCTGTTCATAATTTATTTTTTCTTGATGTATTATTTGATAGAAAACTTTATGACAGTGGGCGTAACTAAGCTTTATTAATGTCTGTAAGTCCGATTTTATTACCAGAGCTTAAAGCTTCATAAATATTGTTTTTATTTAAATTGAGTAAAGACATGCTAGGTTATTAAATACTGTAGGTAGTTGAAAACACATTCATTTTGTTTTTGAGGAAAGCTATTTTCTATAGAATAAAATAATTCAGTATTGAAATAAACCAGTATAAAACAGAATATATTAACTCAAATCAATTTAAGTAAAAGCACTTAATTAAATTGTATTAATTCACTATGTCGTATATGTAAATCAGTTTATATACATTCATATTACATTATTATATACGTTGCGACCCATTTGAGTCAATTTCTAGGTCCCAAATAATAGTGATTTCGCTCCTTTAATATTCCCCCTACCCCTTTAACTTGGATAAGTTTTCTAATTGTTGCTTATATATTTAGAACAATGACTGCTGGGGAAATATATCTTTAAATTGATCTTTTCTCTTTAAAATATATCATTATACTGACCGTTTCTCTTTAAAATCTAATCGTTTTGTTTTAATGACTTTTATTAAATTAGTAATTGAACTGGAAATATGTAGGTAATAATACTATGGAATACAATTACTGTTTATTACTGAGTGACGTTTCTTTGAACTAGGAATCTATGGTCTTTATTAATGATACAATTATAAAAAACTGATGTCATCATTTGACAAGCACATGTGTAGATCTGGCCTCAAGAGTAAACATATCAATTCTAATTTAAAGATGCATTATGTAAGAGCTAAATCTGCCTTTTGCATGTCTTTTTTTCCTGGCTTCAAATGTGATATATAGAGGATATTTGTCGTTTTAGAGTGAAAAACATATTTTATTTCATCGAGAAGCAAGAAAACTTATATTTTCACGAATGCATAGCATTCGTGAAAATATAAACGTTTTCTTGCTTAGAAATGAAATAAAATATGTTATTCACAACAAAACGACAAATGTTCTATTTATTTTATGATTTTACAATCATTTTAGGTAAAAACAACTAGCCAGTGGAATAACACTTTTATTTCACTGATAAAACGCGGTATTCCACTGCTGATCATAAAATAAAAACTATTATTTAGACATTTATGCACATGGCAAGCCCGTAATCACATCTCAAATCTGTCATATTATTATAGAGAAGCCTATCTAAAGAATCTGCCCAAAACTTATAGGTGACACTGGTATATAAATCTTGATAGCCTTGTCTTATTACTAATGAAATAGCACATCAGATCTACCCAATAGAACACTTTATTTTGAAACAAATCCAAGAGGTCAAGCACCAAGAGAGTCTTGGGGCCTTATTCAGGAAAATAAAATATATAAAATCGTAATATTAAGAATGTTAATTTTCAATTTAAACACTACATTATTGATCGATGCTAGAATATTAACTCTTCATCCATATAAAAATTCAGCATCCCTATAAAAGTTTTGTGAATAAGCTCAGGATTTATTTAAAGTTAAATATCTTTTCATATGGACTGTAACTTAAAAGATTTTAAGAATATTGTCTGATTTTAACACTTTGGCACTTGACTGCTCATATCTACTGCTCGATCTAGTGTCCCAAATCACCTGAGCCATTAGGTAGTCATTATTTTACATATACAAAGGGCTAAAGGGTTAATCGGGGATTTAAATCCCCATTTTAAGTTCCGGTCTCTTTTAAAGATCTGTTCCCTCAAAGTTGATGGAATTATCTGCTGCACCCTCCAAAATTAATTTCTAATTAAAGTATGACATTTCTTATGTAAAAAAGGTACAGGCTGAAATGATTAGCAAGCTTACTATAAATTAGAATTAATTTTGAATGAAAGTATGAAATTGCTTATGTAAATAATTAAAGCTGAAATGATTTAATTACTAAGTTTGACCGATGGTCAACCACAAATTTGATGCATAGCTGTTCTGTCAACCACAAATTTGACTCATAGCTGTTCTATCAACCACACGTTTGACTGATGGCTGTTCTGTTAACCACACGTTGGACTCATGGCTGTTCATGGCTGCCAAAGCTCACAGCAATTCCTTATTAGTTATTAGAGGTAGCACACAAAGAGATTAGCTACACTAAAGACTATTACACTGTTCATTAAGCTAATTAACTCTGAGCATGAAGTGATAACACACATTCGTTTGCCAGAATGTGAATTTAAACCTCATATTATAAATAGCATAATATATTTTCAGTTTATGATATAACAGATGTATATTTTCTTCAAGATGATATATTATATGTAAATATAAGTAAGATATTATATATCGAGGGTGGTTATTTAGGATAAATAATACTTTATTAAGATAGGTATATTATAATTAAATAAATAATAAGTGTATATTTTGTATATAAGATTTATATAACCCATAGATTTTCCATGTTATTTTGTTATTTACAAATCAACAGAGTTCATAGAGAACATAATTTATAGCAATATTTACTATAATATTACCGAATATATTGTGAATATGATGTAACTCATAATTTATGTACCAGGTATATATGCATATTCATTAAGCATAATCTCATTTATTAACATTAAAACTAGTATTTTTGTAAAGCTTTTCATAATTTTTATTTTTTATGTTTTAGAATTATTTAAGATTTTGTTATGTTAGGATGTTTAAGGTTGAGATAGCACCCAATGTGATAGGATCTTTATAGCACAAATAGAAAATTCACAGCATTTATTTGGAATTTATGTTGGAGAAAACATTGAGAATGTGTTTGAAAAATGGATATCCCAACTGCTGCATTGCCTTTTTATACGCCCACATTGAAATGCGGTCGTATATTGTTGTCGCCCCCATCCGTCCGTCCGTCAGTCAGTCTGGCGTACACAATTGCATGAGGGCATTCTAGAAGTTAAGGTTAATATCCAATTGACTTTAAATTTATACAGTGTTTAAAGTCATGAGACGAAGAATCCTATTGATTTGCAGCGATTTCCGATAATTACTGCCAGAGTTATGGCCATTGATCACTTTGAAAAATCTTGTGGGCCCTCTAGAGGCTAAAGTTAATATTATTGTTTAAGGTCATGAGACAATCGAAACAAATTCTACTTTTTTCTGATAATTGCTTCATGGGTTATTACTTGTAATCAGATTTTCATGTTCTCATTACTGACAAAAGAAAAAATATGTGACAACACTTGTTGACTGCCCGGACGACTTAGCTGTTGTGGGTGTATGTTTCATTGCCTGGCAACCTATCTTTTTCTCTTAAATTTGTCGCTTTGGCTGGACTTTATTTGTTGATTTGTTTTGTGGGGTGACAGTCTATCTTGGTTGAATATTTTAACTCTAAAGATAAAGCCAGTGTGGTACACTGTAGACACAACTGGCGCTAAATTTAGTAAACAGGGCAAGATCCTGCTTAATTTTTTAATCATGCAGATCTTGCTCCATCATTAATCGAAATAGCGTGTAAGATCACAACCCACTCCTATACTTAAGTTCACCAAACTGAAAGAGGTTTAGCTCCTTGAAAGTAAAATAAGGAAGACTGTGGAACTCAAAGACATTAATCGAAAATTTAATAAATTCTCTATTTATCTTAATCTGATAAATTACTCATTCAAATAATTCAACAAAAATTCTGTGATTTGCTGCGCAAAATATCAATAAAACTTCTTTAGCAAGGGTCAATCCATGTTGTCATTTACACAAAGGCTTTCTTAGAAGAATGCTATTAAATATTAAGTATTTGTATCAAAGTTTTGGAGACATCATGTGTAAAATTTGCCGGGATTTTTTGGGGATTGATTGAAATTCAGAGACAAGTGTTTAGCAAGGTTGCCTCACATTACCAAAATCGTGTAGGCACTTTCTCTTTAAAATAAAAAAACCTGTAATATATTTACAGTATTTCAATGTAGCTGTAGTTTGTTTGATCATGAATAGACACTAGGTGTGATCGACTGCCCATTTCAGAACACCCAAAACTTAGTGATCTCAGAGAAATAGATAGTGTCGGTTTAATTTCTGTAATCCTGAAAAATATTAGTGGAAATTTAAGACGGTTGATCATGAAGAATTTTGGTTGACTGTTAGACGGCAATTAATTTGCCATTATTGTTAATTCTTTGATCTTGCTTTTACTGTTTTCTGGTTGTTTTTTGGGGGGTTTTTTTTGTTGCTTTGCACAAATTTGGAAGGATAGTTTTCTTCCACTTGCACCCCAACTCCCCACCTTCCATTGACCCCTTGGCTTGTATGCCCATGATTTCAACACAATAATGTTACGCAAATAAGAGACAAAAAATAAAACATACTTCTAATCTTGACAAATTAATGTTTCGAAATAGGAGACGTAAACAACATAACATGTAATACCGTAATTAGAAAAATATAATTATCCCCAAGACTAAATGCTCTTCTGGATTAAAACATATTGAAAATGTTTTTTTTTCTTCAGCTTTTAATGTAATGTCTCAGAAAAGTGTTTAAATTAATACTTGCAGAAATGAAAACTTCAGACATTCATGACAATTAGAAGTAGATGGTTTATTAGTTCCTATATACCTAAGGCGATACAAAAAAAAATCTAGTTCTCAGATAATCTTTCCTAAAAATCTTGTGCGAGAAGTGAGTGTTTATTTTTATGGTGTTTTTTTTGTCAACGGAACACTAATGGCAATGGGCTAAATGATTTCTCATTAACATCACATTTCAACTCAAGGCACTACATTTATCTCATGGTGTGTTCATTATAGTTATGTATGATTATCCAGTATTATTCATA